GAATTCCTCCTGTTATCTAGAGTGGGGCTCTTTTTCTACTGTCGATAACCGTTATTGTGGGTCGCTGGAAGGTTGCTACAACTCTTAGTAGAGCACTCTGCTAAATGGTTGCTAGTGAGATGGCATGATTCCAGTTTTGAACAACTTAAGTGACCGAAACCATGGCCAGGTAAAGTAAATTGTGAGGTTCGCCCTCAGTACGGACCATTAGGATGGATCTGTTAATGCAAGGTTAAGTGTTAGGTGAGTGATAAAATGCTGAAAACGGGCTAAGCATGGCAGGGATCAGTGCCTGTCAGAAGTCTTCACCACTTTGAAACACCTAGTTTGGGAAGCGAGTGTTTTATTCGAATGTATACCAAGATCACGTCGTCGTCGTTGTTGTTGTTGCTGCTGCTGTTGTTGCTGTTGTTGTTCGTCGTTTTTGTTAAATCTTGCACTTTCTGTGCGTTTCCGGCCTCATTAAGCTCCTTGTTTGCAGTATCCAGTCAACACTAAGATCAGGAATTAATGATTTGACGCAAACGCCTTTGGAAGGACCAGATATTGAAGTGATACAAGTAGTACCCAACTTCTGGGGTGGGGGGTGGGGGCTAGGCCAGTTTCCAACGTTATTAGCTCCGAGCCAAGCTATGTGGGATCCGATACAAGTATCACGTGGTGCACGAGTTTCATTGCAACCACTTGGTGGTTATATTGAACATTATTCCCTTAATTCTTTTCCTTGTTGAAATAATGGGTTTTGTGAAGACATTTGCCTCTTACCAGATAGTTACAGGCACAAACAATTAGTTCGGGGGTAACAATTATTTCCCTTTGATAAAGGTGGAAAACTGGCTTTCACAACCCGATATTAACTTTATAGTTAATACTGTAATAACATCGGGCAACAGCTGAGTGGCGTTTGTTTGTAAAGCGCGATCTGATGGAGCCTACTTCGATCAACTGTATTGGTTGCTGGAACTTACTGTTTAAGTATTTTGGCGGCGCGTACTATCAATAATGTATGCTCGTGTACCTCTGAGACCCCTCAACAGTATAGTATAAATATGTTATGTAAGTTGCCCACTTACAACATTCGGGCAGTTTGCTCATCTATTCATTATGTATACCCGTTGATCAGTGGAAAGTTTAGAGCAAAATAGCGGGTAATAATGCATTCAATTATGTAAGCTGATCATAGCGAAAGTTTTGCCCGTTTGCTTAATAAACACCTTTGTTCTTTTATTACAGTATAATGGATTACTGAGGCTAGATCAAGAGATTCGCGTGCTGGAAGCAAAGCTGAATAGTCTCCGTGGAACCCGTTAAGAAGGCGCTTGGTTCGGTACAGCATTTCGGCAGATCTGTGATGGGCCGTGCAGCAAAAACAATTTTCTCAGCGCTCAGTACTGCCCAATTGTAGAACCGACATAGTCCGCTCAACCAAGTCATGGCCGTGTTCCAGTTTATATTTCGTATGCTTTTCGGTCCGCAATTGCACTGGAACCAAAGACAGAAAACGGACAATGAAATGCGACCTTGTCAGATTTTGTTGTCCCATCTTCTCGAGGCAGTTTATACCGTGCCACGGAAGGCGATTTCTTTTTCGCTTTCGGAGGTTGTTAATCTCATTTTCCACGGCATCTCGATATGTGTGCCACGTCCTGCCTTTTGCTTACTTGCGAATTTCAGGTTGCGCTGTAAAGCCAGTGAGGCTTTTATGCAAGTTTTAGTACTGTTGTTTCTCTTGAGTTACATGGTAAACCTCTTGCGGGGTGACTAGTTGACATCTACCATCCACTTGGGCGGCCATTCATGAAGATCAAGGAATTGTGTTCCGAAGTAATTGCCTTCTAGTTTGTCCTTTATACACTGTGGTTGATGCGGATCTTGTGCACCCCGCTTCCTCACTTCATCTTTTTACCAAACCAAATTAAGTTATTTTCTTTGACTTTTATTAACTTGTTTGCTGATTCTCTGCCACGAATTTGTTCTTCGAATTTGCGCCGACATGTGTATGCTTATCCTCAATTACACACGTTACGTCATTGCGCCGAGATGCGCTGTTCACAAACTAGACCACCATGTAACTCTTGGCTCTCTCCTTTATCTTGCCTAGCGGGTTGTGGGAACTGATTCTTTCTTCCCTAAGAGACCTAGGTCCCTGTGCGTTTGGCAGCAATAACATATTTTAACCGCTTAGCGAATGGATATTGCACTTACGTCACAATGACGGTAATACGGTACCTAACTGCTGGCATTCCTAGAATGTACTTCGAGAGCTGTGATACTCTCAAGTGAAATCAAAAGCTGTTCGTATCTTTGGTAAAGGTGCCAAACCACATTGCGTTCATCAGATCGAATGTAACATCTTCACCAGTTACACATACAGAATCTTGAATTCCAAAAGTAGGCGATGGTTGTCAGCTTGGTTTCAGCGAGAGCTCAGGCACCCCCTATCGATTTTTCCTAATGGCATACTCCCGGATTAACTGGACCACGGTGTTCCGGATTTATTTTTCATAAGCATTTACACTGATTACAATTCGCTTGGGCCGCAACGTTGAAGCGGACAAAATAGTGACTGTGCGTCAATAAACAATTATTTAGTTATTATTTCTTGCTACGTTCTCTGGCTAACAGTTCAAACAAACGCCGCGAATGTGATCGGCTTCCTCTGGTTGAATTGCCGTCAATCAGTCAAAACGGAGTTTTGGCAGCGGTTGCAGCTGTTGTTCAAGATCCGTGGAATCAGCTTTATAGTACACAGTTTATTATTGCTACTCCACTGTCCGTCCTAAGCCACTAGTTACCTCATGTTGACACTAACCTGCTGGTATTCCGGTAAGTGCTCCTCACATAACACCTGCTCTGCCAAAGGCGACAGTAAGTTTTGTTCATGCTGTGCCGCCCGAATTCAAAGCCGTTCATCTAAGCGTTGGGAATTTAGTCAACTAATATTGTCGTCATTATAGATTGGCCATTTGTTCAGTGACTCCATGTCAGTTCCATTTGTTCAGTTGACCTGCTAGCTCTCAGGAAACCTTCAGCCTAGGTTCATTGACTATGTGTACTGTTGGCTCCCGTTTGTCTGACTTGAATTGCGCTGTGCTATCTTCATGTTCCTCAATCAGTTAGGTTGTACCCATACGTCCTGTACAAATGTAATCATTTCGCGTGGGCGTTGCCTGATTGCTTTCATGTGCATTGCCCATGCAAGCAGCTATTTGCGTTCGACTTTACACAACAAGGTTCAGCCTAGTAAAGATGTTGAAGTGTTTTGCGTATCTCACTTGACCAGCTCCCGTCGAATCCATCTGTTTGCTACATCCCGTTTTTGACCTTAGATGTATGCTGGCTTACAAACACAAGGATTCATCTTTTCTGTCTAGATGAATTACACTGCGTCAGTATCCAAGGTCAGCGGCGGAACGTTTGTATGGATAAAATGCACATCATGTGACGCCCAACTTAATCTTATTTCCGGAATCCTTTTGTGCTCGCTTGTAACAGATTGCCCCTGAGAGTCTTTCTGGTAGCAGCGAACTGCTAGAATAAGATACAGACCATTACTTCGCTGTTCATATTCCGGATATAAATTCAGTAACTGATACACTTGTCAATATTCCACGTTAGCTATCCGAAAATCCAGCTCTGGATTATTTGAATACGTTTGGACGGAAAATCGAGTGTCATTGAATTCGAGTCAGCAGGTCAGTTCACAAACCGCTACTTGTAAAAAAATGGTAGAACCTTCACATTCAAGGTGAAACTGGCTGTCGGAACAGTTAGTGGAGGATATTTCGAAGAAAAACACAAAAAGCGGAGGATGTTTGGCAATTTTTTAGCTTTTAAGTGCTCAAATAATTTATACCATCATTATTATTACTATTATAAATACTGTTCAATCAGCACCTCACTTTAGCTAGAGTTGTATGTCACTCTGATGCTCTGCAAAAGGGGCTAATCAACGAAGAAGAACTGCTTAGTGTAACTTAGTAGATAAAACCTGTAGACGAATTCTGCTACCCATAATGGTAGCGGAGACCAAATGCACGCACTCTAAACGATAAATCGCCTATGGAAGTTGACCTACATAGAGAACGTTGGGAAAGTTCAACAGAACAAGACAAGAACTGATAGGCATTACGATGTAGCAGTCTATAGAGAAACAAGTACCCTATAAACCTCCACGGTCTGCAAACAACAAGTACTCTTATTGTGGCTGCTAACCGACTGTTTTCAAACCCTGCTGAAGTCATGGATTCTCGATCTTTTCCAACTAAGTTTTAGGCTGCAATGTCAGTGATCTATAATTGGTTACAACTGTGCACAATCACGACCAAGGCGTGCTGGACCGCCTATAAGGCACCTGGGACGCGGTGCGTTGCGAAGGAATGTCAAAGCAAAGAACCAAGGTGTGTATACCATGTCAGGAGGAAAGTGACACAGTCTATCATGGAGGCACGGTAAACATCACCCAAGAGCAAGCGGACGACTTAGTGTGCCTTATGACCTTTCTGGAGTTATGGACTCGGGATGGTGACAGAAAAGGGACGCGTTTGTGGATACAAGTAGTTAGAAATAGGAAGAAGAGCTAATGGAGTTACCGTCAGTGACTGCACGCAGTCAAGCCACGCCTTGATGTCAAAAAGTCCGAGGAGACCGTCACACGCATTTCTGCTTATTAATGGGAAATAACTGGCGGACCATGGCCGACTGAAGGTGCCTGAGTAACCGAGAATTAGAACGCTGTTGCAATAAAACGACAAGACGTTTGAATATTTAACGCCTGAAAGCTAAGATAATGGAAGCGTGCGTTTTCATATTTGACCCCTGTTGTAAAGTTGAGCAGCCACAGCATGTCTGTATCTATGGAGCGATGATAGGTGTCTTGCGTTTCGTCTCCAAGACTTCCCAAATCCATCGAAAACCCGAAGTTATATAAAACCGGGAAGCATTTGGCTAGGACCAACTGTGTATTGGGAGACGTCTGTCACACTCGTTTAACGCAAATGTAGAACAGAAATGGGACCCTTGCACATGTGTTCCTGATCCAACTTTGACTGTGTTTTCTGACTCCCCCAGCAGCGGATATCAGCCTCCTGGGGTCAAGCAATAATGTCACCAGTGTAAATGTATGTATCAGCACCAGTTTTCGCTAAGTAGTGTGATACGACGCTAGCATACCACCGTATTGATTTCGTCAATAAAGTCACTGGTGCGAGCAGCTGGGATTTGTAATGAAATAGGTTTTCCGGGCAAGGAGCTCATGGCTTACGAAACATGCATTTCCACCAGCGGCTCCTTATCGTATGAGAATAGCCTGGTCTGTACGGTACCTACATTTTCACTCAGCAAAGCTGAACACACACTGTCACGCGGGAATACGTATCATGGCGCCTCATTGGACTTGTAGTAGTATGAACGTTAGGGTGCTCAAGGAAAAACGGTATGGCCAAGGCATCATCTGTTCACATGAGTTGACGTTTCCACTTGTAAGTGTCCGCTTTGTCTAGGCAACAGTGCTTTCAAGTAGCATTTGTTTACATTTTGCCAGCCTCTCTGGGGATAAGGATGGCGGATTATATGTGTGTTAGAAATACTTCCTTCAGCTACTGACCAGTAATTCATTAGTAATATGAGAGATACTGTGTCACCGTGGCACAGACACCTTTCCTAGATTGCAGTGATAGTTGAGATTAGGAACATTTGAGAGTTTTACGGAACAAGCGGCACGCGCATTTCGCCACTTCAAATGACGCAGTATGTGCTTTCAAATTTCCCTTTTTATTTATCAGAAGTTTCACAGAGCACGTTCAGTTGGTGTTTGTGACGGAGAAGTTCCCGTTAATTTCGTATGGGGGATCACCACTGGGATAGTTTTATCCTTCGTCAACTCGAGACTTGTTTGCGAAATGTTGGAATTTTTCACAGCAGGGCAGCTCTAAGCTTTAAAAGGCACTTATTCCAGCCTCTTTTAGGCAGGTTACCGGAATGAGTCGCGGGAAGTTTTGGATCCGGTTCTGGAGTCTTCCCTACCCATAAGCAGAAACACATAATGAGATCAAAGGGAAAATACGTTGCATTGAATAGCGAAGATGATTAAAAGTTATGCTTTTATGAAAGTACTTTAGCAAAACAGACTAATGATCACAGACAGTGGAAACTTGGGACAGCCGGAATGACATCAGTAAGACAGATATCATAAATTGTGGGGATGAGGAATGCCGAAATCCTTTACACACAAACGGATGACATAAATGGCTTCAAACAAGCCTCACATGGAAGTGTTTGTGCTACTATAAGAGCCCGCTCCATCTTAGATTGTTTCTGATGATCATATCGGTAACTGACTCGAATACGAACTGAATGTTTGTAGTGTCCGTAGCGCAAGTGAAGTGTGTGTAGATCTCCTTTTCTGCTGCGTAGCTGTTGATTGACTCGAATGTGTGCCGTATGTATTCACTGGCTTCCTCATAGGTGTTCTCACCTGAAAGAGAGTAAACAAAGTGTTTTCAGTATAGGAGACAGGATTCTTCGTATCCACTTGAGTTCGATATCGTTGTCAAAAGAATATGTGACGCTCAGTGCTGCAAATCTAGCAATCAATCATAGGGTACTCCTAACTAACTACAACGCGATATTAGTTCATATTGACCAGATGCATTTAAATAGCAATCACTTCCTGCGGGTAAATCTCGACTATACAGGGCAACTGCAACCAAAGTCAGCAGTAATTTTCGGCTATTAAGAGAAAGTATCAAGCTTTTTATGGGGATGTTAGTCGGTCTGAAAAGACCGACACCAATCGGTCGTACAGAGTCCCGTAGTTACCAGTGTCGGTGAAGCAGTTACCTCTGTAAGCAGGTTAGAAGAAAAGTTAGTTTGTATTTATGACATGAACACTTTGAATGTTATACCCTTGGTCGGCTTAGTCTGATATATCCGACGCAGATCCGAAGCGCTAATATTGTTATCAACCATAGGTTTCTAACAACAGCTTCGATATTTCTGTGACTGGTATTAACTACTTACAAAGCTGACGAAATCACTGATGTGTGTCCACAGTCACTATCATTGTTGAGTAATTGCTTGCAGTCAGGAAGCGCTGTCGTGTTCATTACTTCTTTAAGGATGACACAAATACCGGACAGAAAGGTGTACATTGGGACAGATAAGTGCTCACTAATTATCCTGTTGGTTCCAAGTTTTATACGCATTCGGCGGCTAATGCTGAGGTGTGCAATCCAATGGGCATTAAAGTGACTGAAATTAGGTGAGTTGTGTACGCTTAACTGTACGCAACAATTGTAGGCTAGAGGTAGATTCGATATTTTCTCAGTAATCAGCTGGAACCAAAATGTGACTAAATTTTACTAACTGTTGATTAGTTGGTGAAGCCGTCGGGTTAGGATGAGACGAGTTGATCACAATGGAGTTAGTACTTGACCTAATCCGCCTGTATGCACCTCCCGCATGAGCATATCAACTCCTGGGTTTGAAGCACCATTTGTGTCACAAGCTCATTTAAGCTTTTCATATTCAGCCGTTCCGCATCTCAACTATAGGCGTACCCCCTCTACACTTCGCTCATAGCCGCTACATTCAGGTGCGACATTTTCCGTGCGCATAAATTAGAAGCGTTTCCTGAACCCCTTATTTTCACTAAATAAAAATCTATCATTTAATGGAAAGTAGTGGTGCTGCGTCCAGATAAGGCTGACACCATCAATTCGCACTAGAGTTGAAAGCATTTCCGCGCCGACTGAAACGGACCATAATAGATAGCTAGATAGCGAATATTCAGTGTCATGCAAACACAGAGTCGGATGCCACATTTACCACGATTAATCTTTCCGATGTTCGTAACCAAGCTTCGTCCATCATAGCCATTGTCAGGCTATTCAGAGACAAGTGGGCGCATTCGAATGCAAGGTGTGAAGCCTGCTGCAAAGTAGCAATTTTCCTACTGATAGTGAGCGCAGTTACGTATGGTATTTTATTCTATGCTTAGTAGATAGTTTGAGTAATTTTTGGCCGCGTTTTCTAATGAACGTAAGTTATTTTATTCCAAGTTAGTGAACGGGATCGGGGCAAATGAACAGGATTATCAAATTGCTTGTGGAATCTAGTTTCTTTGTCGTTTCTCCGAGCGGTATAATCTAAATTTGTATCCAGCTAGGTCGGGTCATTCTTTATCAGTGTGCTTTAACCTCATGAAAAATACATAATTGTTAAAACGAGCGTCCGAGCTTCGGTACACAAGTTGGTAGCTTTCTTCATGTTTGGTGCGTAAAAGCTGGTGCACACTTTTAGAGTTTTATTCGCTAAGCGAAATTCCCTCGACCGTATCTTTCAACCTTCCTCTTTGGTTTGGACAGCATTTTATTCTGAATGACCACTGGCTGGTATGTCATCATCATGTGATAAGGTTTGCGTGAGTACTGTGTTCATTTCAAATGCAGTCGTCATCTACCGAGTGACTATCTATTACTTCAATTTTAGTATAGTTGCGACGTTTACTACTTTATAGTCTAGGCTTTCTGAACAACACAACGTAACTTGAAGATCTCATGCTGAAAAACCATTGACTCGTTAATTGAAAGAACACCACAAGTGGCCGCATTTCGTAAACAGTATGAGCAATGAACTGAGCATTGGATTTGCGTGAAGCTGTCCAACTTCGAACAAGGCCTTGAACCAGGGAAAACATTGGTCGAAATAGTTATGTCAATCCAACCTATCTGATTGCAGTCCTATTAATACCCCCCTATAGGGTGCATACATTTAGCACAGTATTTACTAACACAGTCACAACTGCTCATTGATGATGCAATCTCGACTGAATTTGAACCGACTGAATTTGGGTTCTGCGATTAGGTGAATTTGTATTCTACCAGTTTCTGCCATGAGAATACTGGTTTTTCCTAAACTGCGAACTAGAATATTGATAAGTCGTTTATATCAAAACTATTCAGCCCAGTAGAAGCAGCTTTAACTAATTAGGTGACTAAATCAACACCACAGCTGCCAGCACCATATATCCGCATTTCACGATAAGTTCTTAGATACATCCGCTACAATCAAGCTTTCAAATGTCGTAGGATCACTGTGTCTGGATCCAGATACGAGGTTCTCTTCAACCAACTGCAGGACAAAAGTTGAAGTTGGGTCGTATAATACTTCTCCGCGAAATTAGACGAACTACGTGGTGTCGCACAGCACTCTGATAACTTCACTCCATTTTCCGTCCTGTTGGAGCTACAGAAATAATTCTTTTGAGGCTAACAGATCATATAATCTAATTCCACTAGGATACTAGACTCATTGTTAAGAAAAGGTTGCAACATCAACTTTTAACAAGCTAGCTATGCTTCGCAACTCCAAGGCACTCCTGCAGACTTGAACCCTGTCCGACAATCCAACATATGTCAATAACGCATCGTAGCATAGCTGGGGTCGTCATCAGTTACACAGTTAAACGTTCTGCTGGTGAAGTATGCAACAGCGCGAAACAGGCTCGCTTCCCAAGTTCACATGAGACAGAACACAGCGTAGCACTGTGACCTAGCCGCGGAGTTCTTGGTTTCCGCACTACAGACTGATCGTTTCTACATCTTGCTCTAGTTATGTTCCCCGGCAGTTTCGTCACAGTGCACATACGTTTTGCAGCTACGTTAATAAACTCTTATTAAAGTTGTTGTGATTATGAATGCTTGCAGTTTTTTGAAACACCAACCATTGTATGCTGGAAAATATTTGTTCAGCGGTGACCGACCAATTTTTTCCATGAATAAATCCATTTTGTTGAGGAACAGAAGCGTACTGGTCTCCCTGAACCAGATGTTGTTGCAGATGGAACCAAACATATGTATGGATTCCTCCATACGGGTCTGTAGTAGGAAAAATGAAAACATGTTTAAGGAAAGAGCAAAGGGTATATGATAACTTATTTGGGTGTTGAGTTCATGAAAACCACTATGACTAGCAGACAAGCCCGAAGGTCTCCATTGTCTATTGCACTTAATGACGATTAATATCGGGCATTTTTAACTGTCCATCCTAGAAATTGTATGTGTCTTTCGGGTACTGGTCCAGTAACTTTGCACTACTGACGCAACTTTGAGTTCGTTGAGTAGCTTGGTCGTACGTACATAGAGGTAACTTGGGACAACCGTGTTCTTTCCTACTGCCTTCATTACCAGTTAAAGCAAAAGGTTTAGCTGAATAATGAGGTCAAATTTTCGCTCTCATTTTAAGGCCAATCTAACCGAAAAGGACCCGCTTAGCTGAATGCGGCTCATGACAAATGCATTGCGTCGTATTTACATTGCAAAATTTCTAGAATACACACGGTAGAATAGAGAAGGAACAGGATTCTTGATCACATCATCAACCAAATTCTGCAGAACTGCTTTGCGATCGGTGCGAACTCTCTGTTACAATCATAGTTCTTTCAGCACTTCGTTGGTCTTAAGGCTTGCTGATGAGACGTGTAGCAAATGCATTGCACCAAATATTTGTGAATGCGAATACCACCATGATACGTGGAAGATATGGGGGCCGCAAGCGGTCCGGTCACTGAGTGAGTACCCGGAACCAACCGCAAGCATCTGCTTTTCTCTGGTCAATAAATGTAGAGCACAAACAGTGCAGTTATTAGACTAGGGAGCTAGTGATATTATCACATCTGCCATCCTTGCGTCCCAAACAATATGGTGAGGTTCATGAAAATAAGACTGTCAGTCCGTTGTTAATTATAAGACGGCATTGGATACGGATTGAGCGGGACAGCGAGGAAGCTCAACTGCGTGCTTGTCTCTCGTCGTAAAGTTCTAACAAAACATTTGGGCGCTCAGCAGATAAACAGACCCATGCATTCAGAAACAACGTACGGTAATTTAGTCAGGGAATGCATAAGTTCTAAAAGTTGAAATAAATTCTAAGCGGATCGAATAATCGATTAATTTTACAACCTACCCGCATCACTCAACATACTGGTTCAGATCGTTACGCCCCTGTGTGAATTTGTCATGTTGTGATCACCAAAATTCCAATGAGGTCAAACAGAGATTGAATAAATCAGTATGTGCATAGTGCATAGTCCCCAGTTCGGCAATCTGCATGTCAGCAGACCGTTTGATCTATGCCAATTTATCAACCTTCTGGTTTAACTTGAAATTTAGTTGCCTTATAGGGCCATATCTCTCCATGTCCTCGAAGAGCCGGGTATAGAAGGAGCAAACGATCTTACAATTAAGACCAATTAAATAGACTCCTGGCTGCTTAAAAGAAGGGTCATTACGTAAAGGAGTAAACAAGCTCACCATCAGATTACGTTGTTCAAAAAGAAAACTAGTGAGGAATTATTGCTGAAGTACGTACTTCGGCATGAACTCTGGGTTTGTGGATTAAAGCGGTCGGAAGGCATTACCCAAAATATCCTAAACAAACACCGTTGCTTTAGGTTTCTTGGTGGCAAACTTATCAGACATACAGCATGCTTAGGCTATTGGAGGCCATCGTTATCGATCGCGAGTGACCGCCGCTGTGCATTCAAAAACAACTGACTGTGACTTTAAGCCTACCCTGGTAGCGCAAATCTCGAGCTACATATGATCTCTTTGACGTTGCTGGTTACTCATTTGCATATCATTACTGCAAGTTTCTGTGCTTGATAAGAATGCACGAAATGGCGATGTCAGCTCACCATCTACGTCTGCTGATTTTCCTGTTTGGAGACATACAACACTTTTTATTCAAAATAAGCAGGTCCAAACTTTTCTTAACTTCGAACTCCACTTCTTTTTCGACGCCATGAAGTTGTTTTATTAAACTGTGGACAGCTTTCGTGTCCTTACTTACTAAAACAAGCTGGACAGGAGTCATCCACCTTGCGTTAACTGACGTTCCACGAATAGATATGCTGATTGCGACTCATCCATTTTTTATCATTTCAGCAACGTGCTTATCTTTGTCTGTAATTTTCTTTTGTATCATCTACTCGTGAGTGAGAGAGCTGATGGTTACTTTTGTCATCCTGCTTGATCCCCTTTCTGTGGCATCACCCTGAGTTGCAAACTACTGTAAGTTACTTTCACTGCCATCTGATATTTCGCCCGAAGACGAGTTTACTATAAAGTCGGTTGTAAAACGGCATGTAAAATTCGTACATACGACGGAAGCTAACATTTTGACATCAGTTCTGATAACTATCTTTGTTTAAAACTGGCGGTTGCCTATGCAGTCAATGACGGTGGATTGGTATACGGAGGGATGTTCTTTACCGGCAGTAGTACTACCAAATGAGAGGTTTCTGCCAAGCAGTGAATGGATTTAATTGGTAGGTAAAAACAAGCAGTAATGCCTAGAGTACTACGACAATATTTTTCCCCTGATAGCGTGGGGGCAGAACATCAGAGAGCTAACATCCTTTAAACAAGTCATCCACCTATTCGATAGAATACTTCACGCAAGATTCGGACACCTACAGGTTCCGCCAAAAACTAGTCTTGCATACGAATGGTCAAATTGTAATTAAAACATAATGTCACTCGTTCAGCGACTGAAACAGAAAAAACTAGGTTTGTTATTATCAGTAACTCGTTTTTCCCAGTATAGACATACCAAGCAGGTGTTACGGCAAATGGCTGGGGCACGTCTCCTAAGTTATGTAATTCGTCATCCATCCTTTCACTTTTCCCTAGAAATCAGCAACTTCCTAAACTGGCTTCTAAAGCTATGGCGTCTGAAAAGTGTTTACAGCGTGTACAGGATTATTATTATTATTATCACTATATAAACAGAATATATGGTTGGCGTCATGCGCTTTCGGATTTGCCTGTCACTGTGGCCAGCCACAGGACGCCTGCGCCTACAGAGGGACCATGGGTGGCTTGCGCTGCACCACCCACAGCTCCAGCCACACACCCCATATCCAGTGTAAAACCGAAGGAATAAGATAGGGAGACATGTGGATAGGAGCCACATTTCATCAACGGAGCCGGCCCACGCTCCTTCACAGGCAAACACAATCACGCTGTATTTTGGGGAATCAAGCGCACACAAGGCGCTGGCTGGATCGCAGTCCGCTCCACACTGAGTACATGGAACCGCTTTTTGAGTCTAGCACGGCCACAAGATTCGTGCACCCCGTCCCCTCCAGCAACGACCAACTGTCTCCTGGAGCCAGTATGAACGAGGTAGTGGGTAATAGACAGGTAGGCACCTTGTCAATATGCACATCAAACGAAGATATACCCAGGATATCAAGCAACTGCCATTCACTTTAAACGACCAGTTGAAATAAAATAAATCCAATAATGCATACAGATACGGTGGCATAACTCTTCCCTAAATTACCATATGAAGTAAGTTGATTAGCAACCAATCCCCGATAAGTAAGTAATGTCCACAAGTTACTTGCAAATGCTACAAACGCAACAAAATTACCGAAGATAAGCGCAATTAGCGTAAGCAACGTGGCCAGTTAATAGAACATTGTTCAGGTAGGCCGAACAAACCAAATAAAGTGGAATGAAATTTATCCAGCTTAAAAAGACTTAGTTTAAGTGTACATTGGTTTAGCCCAACTGTGGTGAAGAAGCATCAAGACTGCAACATCGGCCTCAGCATGGGGCACACATGCAAACATGGTTGGCGGCATCCGGTTTCCGATTTGTCTGTCACTGTGGCCAGCCACAGGATGCCTGCGCCTACAGAGGGACCATGGGTGGCTTGCGCTGCACCACCCACAGCTCCAACCACACACCCCATATCAAGTGTAAAACCGAAGGAATAAGATAGGGAGACATGTGGATAGGAGCCACATTTCATCAACGGAGCCGGCTCACACTCCTTCACAGGCAAACACAATCACGCTGTATTTTGGGGAATCAAGCGCACACAAGGCGCTGGCTGGATCGCAGTCCGCTCCACACTGAGTACATGGAACCGCTTTTTGAGTCTAGCACGGCCACAAGATTCGTGCACCCCGTCCGCTCCAGTAACGACCAACAGTCTCCTGGAACCAGTATGGACGAGTTGTTGGTTATCAGACAAGCAGACATCTTGTCAACATGCACATCAAGCGCAGCCACACCCGGGATATCAAAAACAACCAATGATTTTACATGACATTATCAAATGTGTCTGGTAAAACATACGGCTCAGCCGATATAACTTTTCGATGAATTAGCAGCTGAAGTATGTTGGTTAGCAACGAAACCGCTATAAGTGCAAAATGTCCACGAGGTATGAAAAAAGTGATACAAATGTAATAAAGTTAAGGAAGATAACCACAATTAGCGTAGGCAAAGTGTCCTGTTAATAGAAGATTATTCAGGTAGGCAGAACAAACCAAATATAAATATATATGTATATACATATATATATAGTATACGTAATATGTATATTGTTATTATTATTTTATCACGGCGTTCATAAAACACAGTCAGTCATTTTTGTTCCCCAAGACATAGAGTGCTTATAAACTTTGACGAGAGGAAATCCAATTACAATATAATTGGCTGAGTGCACAAACACATAAGAGAAACAAGAAAAGCTTGAAAGGGAAAGCAACTGTTAGGTTAGGAGCGTCTCATAGCAAGTGCGCCATTGCTTACGGTCCTTGGACATATCCTCCAGCGTTTTACAACCAGATGTGCTCGGAATCCTTTGGGCCCCAACCCGCGAGTCGGGAACGCCCGACAACAGCCAGCTTTAACGTTCGCACCTTAACGCGTTGGATCCAAGTTTTACATTGCCCACCAGTTTTCTTGGCTTCTAAGCCACGCCTGTACTCGCAAATAGGGCTCGTCGTAATAGCCGCTGGGTAGGCATGCGAAGCACATGGCCAAGCCAGCGAAGCCTCCGCAGTGAGATGATGCTATCA